AGGACTGACATCAATAAGATAGAAATGAAGAGAACAATAAAAAGAATCAATGAAACAAAGAGGTGGTTCTTTGAGAAAATCAACAAGATAGAGTAAGTAAAAGGTGAAGAGACACTATTCAAATTCACAAACTCAGAAACAAGGGGGGCTCTAACAACAGACATGGAGGGAATCCAGAGGAACCCAAAGACTTACTTTAAAAACCTGTACTCCCAAGTTGGAAAATCTAAAATAAATGGATAATTTTCTTGGTACACGCCACTTACCAAAGTTAAATCAAGGTAAGATAAGCAATTCCTATAGACTCTCACTCTTCCATTTGTAGCTGTCTCTCATTATTACCTAGTGTATACTCAAATGTAATATTAAAAATTTCAGGGGCTGGAGAGATGGCTCAGTAGTTAAGAGCACTGACTCATCTTCCAGAGGTCCTGAGTTCAAATCCCAGCAACCACATGGTGGCTCACAACCATCCGTAATGAGATTGAATGCCCTCTTCTGGTGTGTCTGAAGACAGAGACAAGTGTACCCATATACATAAAATAAATAAAATCTTAAAAAAAATTCATAGTTGGCTGTGGTAGTGCATGCTTTCAATCTAAGCACTTGGGAGGTACAGGCAGGTTGAACTCTGAGTATGAGGCTAGCCTGGTATATATAGTAAGTTCCAGGACAGCTAGAGCTACATAGTCTACATAGTGAGACTTTGTCTCAAACAAGACCCACCCTGGACCAAAAAAAAAAAATGGCTGGGCAGAACTTGGGAAGCTGAGGCTGGTGGATATTCATGAACTCAAAGCCAGCCTGGTCAATATAGTTAGTTTGAGGACAGCCAGGGCTACATAAGAGTGTCTCATTTTTTTCCAAATATAAATTTTACATTCATATTTCTCATCAGCTATTTTTTGGTAGTTTTTCATTTTTCTCTGACCAACTTCTTCTATTTATTGTAATGTAAAACCCAAGATTTATCTTCCACTCTTCCATCTCTAAACGTGACAAACAATTATGAGGTAAATCACATATGTTCATAAAAAGTGCCTTCATTTTTATTGTCAGAGTTCCAGAAGTGGGATTCCACGTGTAAGTAAGAATATGTGGAATTTAATTTCCACTGTTCTTGCTACATTGCCTTTTCAAAATGGTGCTTAGCAGTTTGAGGATGTAGACAGCATAATCACAACTGTTATAAAAGAACATATTTAATTGGGACTGACAGTTTCAGAGGATTAGTTCATTATCATCATGGGTGAAAGCATGGCAGTGTGCAGGTAGACATGGTGGTGGAGGAGCTGAGAGTTCTACATCTTGATCTGAAGGCAGCAGGAGACTGTGTATAGCTTGAGCATATATAAGGACCTGGGCATAGCTTGAGCAAATATAAGACCTCAAAGCATGTTCCCAAAATGACATGCTTCCTCCAACAAGGGCACTCCTACTTCACTAAGGCCACACTTCCTAACTGTGCCATTCCCTAATGAACAAGTATTCAAACACATGAGTCTATGGGGGGGGGCACACCTATTCAAACCACTACAGTCTTCCTCTGTGTACTAGTTGGGTTTTTTTTTTTTTAATTTGATACAAGTTAGAGTCATTTTGAAAGAGGGATTCTCAGTTGAGAAAATGCCCTCATCAGATTGGATTAAAGGCAAGCCTGTTGGGGACACTTTCATGGTTAATGATTGATATGGGAGAGAGCCCAGCCCACTGGGGACAGCTGCACCCCTAAGCAAGTGGTCCTGAGTTCTATCAGAAAGCAGCTGAGCAAGCAAATCACGAGGAGCAAGGAAGCAAGCAGCACTCTTCCATGGTCTATTTCAGTTCTTATCCTGCTTGATTTTCTGCCTTTCCTTCAATGATGGACTGTGCTCAAGATGGATGTGTAAGCTGAAACAAACCTTTTCCTCCCCAATTTGCTTTTGGTATTGTTATATCACAGCAATAGGAAGCAAACTAAGGTCCTTATAGAACTCCCAACTCTGCCTCAGAATGCTCTTCCTTGCCAGCTGGGCCTAATGATTGAGAACGTGCGCCCAACTGGGACTCACCCATTCCTCTTACTGGGAGCCCTTAGATCCTCTTCAAAACCCTAGATATCTGTTATCCCACCTCCCAAGGTCCAAGTTTGGGAAAACCCCAGGTCAATTGGAACCCACCTGTTTATGACAACAGGCTCAGGGTCTTTGTTGAAGGCACTGATTGGCCATTGGTCACCCATGTTGCCCCCTACCCCCTTAATGGGTGGTTGGCCTATAGTGGTTCCAAGACTGAATTCCACAGTGACCACCTGGAGACCCAGAGTTCCAACAGAACTTGAAGAAGCACCAGCTTAGCAACACAGTGAGTTTTATCTTGGAAAGGATAGAAACTACCATCTGTCATTTTCTAAGCATCACAGACCTAGTGAGAGGGGAATTACACTCACTCCAGCTTTTGAAGGGAGACCACCCAGGTCATGGAAGGCTTTCTCTGGGTAGGAAGAGCCCCAGTTACGTTAGTCTTTACCTCCAAAATTTGAAGGCTAAGGCAGGAAGAGGGAGGCAAGGAGAGGCTGTATGTGTGGGACAGACTCAATGAGAATTTTCTACTTGACCCTACTTTCCACCTGAGAGCTTGAAAGGCAATCAACACACACAAAGCCATATACATATACATCCATATACATCCGACCTATATTAAAATGGCTCCAGGTGTTCCACTTACAATTCTTTGTCGTCCTTGTTGATCCCAGAAACCAATGGTCAGGAATCATCTGTATAGTCTCCAAATTTACCCACAGATCACCAAATAACAAAATGGCTGTTTTCCGCCAGTAATTTGTTATTGCTCATTATACAGAATATATAGGCAAAACATATTTCCAAAGCCTTCCTGCCCAAAGTTTTCCTATAGTCCTCCATTGTTCAACTGCTCTTCGCTCATCTTACCGTTAGGGATCTAGAAAAAGGAGATTCTTGAGTTTTGGTTTCTAGTCTAACCACTTGTTTCATACCTGATAGGCAATAATGTGGAGTAATTTACCAGCAAACACACATTTTGGGCCAACTTAAGTCTCATTTCAAAAATGATTAAAACAGCACTATATCTGATATACGCCTCCTTGTGGCCCCTTTTTCTACACATTTGACCTTACAACATGCAGTGTACCCTCTGGTCCTGTCTCCAAGTCCTGTTTGTTTCAGAGAAAGGTGAGGTATTCATCCAAGAGGGTATAATTACATCTGCTCTATAGGATAAATCCCAATGGATCCAGTGTGTATGCTGGAGTTGAACCCAGGGCTTCATATATGCAACGCACATGCTCACCCACTGTGCCACATCCCCAGCTCTAGAATATGTTTTCAAGTGTTATAAATAACATAGAAGAACAATGTGGGGTGTGTATGATCTGGGGATGAAAAAAATTATGTGTGCCTGTGGGAATATACGAGTGCAGGTGCCAGGAGTTTAGAAGGTGCTAGATTCCTTGGAGCTGGAGTTACAAGCGGTTTTTGAGCCTTTGAATGTGGATGCCACAAATCAAACTGGGTCCTCTACAAGAGCAGCAAGCTTTTTTTTTTTTTTTTTTTTTTTGGTTTTTAAAGACAGGGTTTCTC